GGAGCAGCTGTAAGGACAATGACAACAGCCTTACAGTTAGGCAGTCAGGGAAGTAGAAGTAGTATACCAAATCCTAACATCTGAGTATCAGAAGGATACTGCACATGTTATCTTCTGCAAAGAGCAACAATATTTCCTGGGCCTACACTAGATAAATTTAAGAGGGTAAACTTTCAAAATAATGAATATGAAATAAGAGAATAAGTTTAGCAAAGCACTATTTATTTTGTCTCAGCGCAATCTGGAGCTGGAAAGCTAGCTCAGGTTCCTTTTTGCACTGTTTGTCATGTTAAACTCTGCAACCATATGTATGACAAATACTCTTGTTACAGTCTGTACATTTCAATAGCTAAAAATCTCTGAGGATTACCTTCAAGTAGTATTCTTTACTCTTCACATACTGAGCACTTGTGATAATACTCAATAACCTCCTCTTGTACGGTTAATTGATGCTCTTTAACAGCTTGCTTTCTCCCATTAGTCAGCACACAATCATTATTCTACACTGCAACACAATCTCAGCAGACCACTCTGTATTAAACAAACATATTGTAACAGATTAGGAGCCTCAGCATTTTGTGCCTGCCTGTCTCTATCCCACTGCTATGCCTTTCAGTCTCAATCTACCAGCTGGAAGTTGAATTCCCAATTAGGTACGTAGTGCTGTCTGACAACTGCTGCACATCCTTTCTGCATAAATACAACAACATGATAATCATTCCACTTCTACAAAACCAACCTCATCCCAAAGGGATGTGGAGCATTTTGAGAAAATCCACATCAAATGTAGGGGGAATTGGCTGAAGGGGAACCAGTATCTCCAAACTGACAGAGATCCCACTCTGCAGCAAGTACTAATCTGGTGAGCTGTTCACAACATAGCAGTCACTCACAGATGCTGTAACTGAGTGTATGGAAGTGTGCTGTCGCTCTCCACACTCCATGGTCAATGTACCCTACTAGTTTTCTCATTCCCAAGACCACAATAAGCTACCAAGAACCTACCATGGCATACAACTGTCCTCACCAGCCCTACAACAGCTGCAGATGGACAGATGCCACAAGCGAACATCAAGGCAAGTACTCCAGCTGGGTTCCTTCTAGCATTTTAACTCACCATGTCACAGACCACTGTTTCGGACAGGATAGTGGCAAACTGCCCCAAGTGCTCCTAGATTATTTCCTTTTAAATGACTTCAGTCTTCCAAAAGACCACCGTAGGTTTTCAAAAGGTATTAAAATCTAAAAGCTAAAGAGAAAACTGTAATAATTTTCAGGTTCTAAGGAGAAGCCAGTGAATAAGTGCAGTTGCAAATAGAAGTACTGCATCTTAGATTATGGACTGAAAAGGGATGAAAGTGACAGACATCCTGTGCTGACCTTCCCAAACCTGGTACAATGCAAAGAGTTGTGAAATGCACAGACACTGCTGGCAGATTCACATGTGGGAATACATAAAGGAGAAAGCACTAGAATGAAATGGATCTCTTCAACATCAGCTGGAGAGTGGGCAGAGACAGGTGGCCTCTAGTTCCTGACATCCTGGAATTAAGCCAGGCAGGACATCCAACAAGTGTGGAAAGGATTTCCATCTCCCCAGGGACAGCGCCATAACTGATGCTGCGTTTCCAAAAAAATTCAGGCTGAGGAAAATGGCCAAGCCAAAACAGAAAAGGGTGGGCCCAGTCCAGAGATGGAAAGGGACAGCGAGGTGAGGCATATCCAGAAAACAGGCCAAGCAGGCAGCTTGGTTCAGTCCCCACCATAGTGGATTAATTGATGCACTGATGCGCAGGAGAGACTTCAAGCCTGCAAACACCTACACACATGGTTCATTTTCCCAGCACTTCCTCATACCCACCTTCTCTGAAATTTCTTCTAACCTGAGATACTACTGGCTGTCCTTTTCATCCAGACAGCTATCTCAGCTATTTTTAGTCTTGGGAATCTTCTGGCTATGAATAAATTTTACAGCA